TATATAATATATACTTATAATATATACATACATATATAAACACATATACATCCACCCTTTTCATTGATTTAAGAAAATATTTGATGTTATCTTATTTTGCTGTTACTAATGTTCATAACATTATAGTAATTATAATGTTTATAATAAAAATAATATCAATATTCATAGCACTTGTAAAAATATATGGTTTTCCACCAACCCTGACTTTACTGAATCCCACCCGTGGGCCACAAACCTTCGATCAAGTCTCCGTTATGAGCTTGTCAAGGAGAAAGAATCAATTACCCCAAGTTTGTCTAATCTTAAATGCAGGAAGCCGAGAGGGTCATCTACAGCCATCACCTCCTCCGGGTAGTACAACCTAATTCACGGAGGGACTCAGTCCGATCTCGGATCCAAACTGCAGGCGACGACTTGCTAGAAAATAGGGTTGGTGCACTAACAAAGCCATGAGAGTTGAGAGTAAACCAGACCGCTCCCTCGCACAGGAATAAGGGCAGTTTGCAATACATGGGAGCCCTAGCCCAACATGCCCCAGAGGAAAAGGACACTGGATCAACACAAAGGCTCCAGGGCAGCCGAGTGGGAGAGGAGAGAGAGGAAGGACGAAGAGAGAGAAGAGAGAGGGATACGCAGTTGGAGAGATGCATAAGTTGCGAGATGAGTAATGTACAGTAAGAGAGGATAGATGTAGAGAGAAGAAGAGAGAGTGAGAGAGTAGAGAGGGATAGGTAGAGTAGATGAGAGAAGGGAGAGTAGAAGAGAGGGAGAGATGAGAGAGGATGGAGAGAGAGAGAGAGAGAAGAGAGAGATGAGAGAGGAGTAGGGAGAGATAGGATGAGGAGGGGGAGCAGAGGAGAGATGAGGAGGAGAGAGAGAGATGAGAGAGAGAGAGAGAGGAGAGGGAGAGAGAGAGAAGGCGAGAGGAGAGAGAGAAATGAGAGAGAGAGAGGAGAGAAAGAGAGAGGAGAAAGGCGAGAGAGAGAGACGAGAGAAATAGAGTAGAGGAGGAGAAAGCGAGAAGAAGAGATGTAGAGATAGAGGAAGAGGTGAGGGAGAGAAGAGAAGAGAGGAGAAGGAGAGAGGAGCAAGAGAAGAGGAAATATTATACTGAAATATTACATACATACTATATGAACACATAGACCATTCCAACCTTTTCATTTGATAAGAATAATTTTGATGTTCTCTTATT